ACGGCTCCACTTCAAACCATCCGCCCGCCGATATTTAACCGCCGAGAACAGGGACCGTTGCGGAATACGTTTTCGCAGTGTGAGTGTGAAGACACATCATAAACGCCGCGGGAAACTATCAGTTGCCTAGCGCTCGTAAAAACTGTAGTCCTGAGCTGTTTACCATGCGCTGCACATCGCTATGTAGTCTCGCGGGCAACCGATCGATTGCCGCACATCCCTGGAACCATCAGATTCCACAGCTTCAGTTCTGGACCACGCTCGACAAAGTTTGCTGATGAAAGTCCGTCTAGGAATAGCAGAGCGAGTGTAGCTCATGCGTGATCTTTGATAAGAGGTGGCGACGACCGCGCAGGGTTGCAGGGGCTAAAATCCAGGGTGAGGTAGTAGTAGACGTGTGGATTCCTAGCCGACATCACCCGGGGCAAACTTGACTCGAAGTAGGATTCACGAGAAAGGACATGGTCTGTTTTAGGCAACACAGACCGTGATGCAGAGTCACACCGGAGGATCCCAAATGAGAGAGGCTCTGAAAATTGATTTATATGACTAATATTCGAGCATAAAAGATATATTTATTTTCCTTACACTGCGGGGGGACTTATTTTTTTCGTGGAAAATGTGTGACAATCTAGAAGTCCGATTTTCACTGTTCTGTCCTCAGACATAAAATATACATTGAAAATAGACGTTGATTTACAGCTCGATTTTTACCATGAATAGACATCTATTCCTCCCAAAAACAGAAATGTAAATAGCCCATCTTTTCTTTAATCTATTCTCACTGGGAATAGGTGTTGATTTTCACGGAAAACAGAAACAGAAAAAAGATGATTTTTTTTTTCACTGAAAACAGATTAAAACTACCAGAAGATATGGAGGCTTGGAGCATTGCGCTTTTGAACCAAGTGTCAGACATCATGTCCTCATGATTGATTGATGATCTGACATTCAGTGGGACCCCAAAGACATTTGGACACTGTGTGGTGTACCATTGTGTGTTGCAATGATTCTCCGACTCAGCTACAGTGAATTTAACAATCATTGTTATGAAATAGACCAAGTACAGAATGAATATCAAAATTTTGCGCCCTTCTCATCAGATACGTGGAAGGGCAACATTCCAAATGCGCAACAGTACACATTGCATTGGTGCTCGACTTCGAATCTGTCAAAGATAGTGGGGATGGTTCCGCCACCAAACACCTCTTTGTCCATCAGCGTGCTTTGAGGATGTGTAAGGGGGATCACAAGCAGATTCAATCAAGTCACACTTATGAGGAGGTCATGATCTGTGCATCCGTCAAGAGGGTCAATGATCCTAAGAGCTCGTTCAGAGATAGATAGATATAGATCTGACTGCAACGCACCTTGGAGATCTGAAAGAATCACCAGCCCTCCCGACTTGGTGTACTGGAAGTGCTGAGTAAACAAAGGAATTCAGCAATGTAGAAATTGGGATTGTTGAAGCTTGTTGGTATTAGCGACTATCACAGTATGTAGAAATGACATCATAAGTAGTATTCTTAGATTACTTTGGCTTGCTCTACAATGACCTCATACCTGACCTCATTATTGCATCATCCATTACTCATCTATGATATCATTACTCCACTATGACATCATGATATCTGCTCCAGATGGTATATAAACCTAGTACTAAACGCTCCATATCCTCAGCTCCTGTGTCTTACACTTGCTGAGGTATGCATTCTCCCTTATGATCTAATGACCTTACTTATGACTTGTACCACAGACTCTGTGTCTTTAGGTACAGCTAATGTATAGCTCCTGTGTCTTACACTCGATGAGACTCTGTGTCTTTAGGTGATCGCTACTGGTCGTATCTCCACTGCGCAATATTGTCTGCGACAGGGATCTTGGGGTGCAAGGGCAGGAACCGCCTTGCCGTTGATAGGGAGTGTCAATGATGGCAAGGCAGTCAGACCACTACTGTAGAATTGGTCTTATAAGTCTACACCAGACTCAGGGCTATTAGTGACAGACACTGGTGTCATGGCAATTCCTCAAAAGGGAAACTCTTGTTGCAGCAACTCCTTGAAAGGGTCATTCTCTGCAGATGGGAACTCATGCTGGAGGGCTTAGCAATGCACAACATGCTCAACATAACAACTACCACTAGACGGGACTTGGTGTTACGAGATTGAACCAATCTTGTCGTGGCAACTCCCAGCATTGGGTTGGACGTTCCTTCGGATCATGCCACGGCAACGACTTGTCACATGCCATGTTCTACTCGATCACGGGATACTGTGAACGCATTGCGGTGACACTTCTGAGTGTCACAATGAGTCGCACCCATACCCAAACACACCAAAAGCGACACACACTAGATCCGTGAACCAAACCATGTGAGCGACGTCTGGCGTGCCTAGGACCATATGGCTTCTTGGGGCACCCACATTGGACTCACTTGCCAAGACATACCCGTTGACCAATCCAACACAATTAGTCAGGACCTGTCCAATTGTTCAACTTTCATTACCATAAAAAGCAACCGATCTTAGATAGCATAGCTAATATGCAGTTGTACAGGACTTTACTAAGCACCTTTGTAGACAATATAAGTAGCGCGTCATTTCTTTGTATTGGGGAGCTTTCCCCTGGACTGTGAATCATACTCATATCAGATTGTTTTTTGTACAATTTGCGTGTCGTGTCATAGTTTGGCCACTTTTTCATCTTATCATTGACAATCTTATCTTATCTCGGTGCAGGCTATCTGATCACAGATCACGGCATCAAACGGTCCAGGCTAGGGGTTCCAGGGATTATCTTTATTGATTCGAGTGTAAGGGCAACTCCTGCCAGCCCGAAGGAAGAGAGCACACAGCACACAACAACCTCACATGAGTCTGAGCACAGAGGGGGATCCTTAGAGACTATCAAATACAAGGGAGGTATACTACTCACCTGAGCACAGAGGGGGATCCTTAGAGAACGGTTCAAGGATCCATGTGCCCAGGTGTCACACTATATAGTCAGCTGTGACAAGTGACTGATGATGATGGGATATCACTGCCATGGAACAATGGCAGATGACAAGTAGATAATGACAAACCCAGATAAGATAGTGAGTGGCTCAGAGGGGCCAGTGATGGCCAGCTCCTGAGACACCAACAGTGGAAGGCCACACTGGAGGAGCCCAGCGGCCAGGCCAGTGCCGGGCCGGCCAGTGGAGACATCGGAGGCGAGGACCAATGCCCAACTGGGAAGAGGGGTGGTGCGGATGAGCGCAAGGGCATCTGGTACGAGCCTGTACGGCAGTAGACCACATCCGCGGGGAGAAGGCCGAAGTGAAGGGGGAGGAGTGCATACGGCAGTAGCACTCCCTGGTGCAAGGAATCGGGCTTGGCTAGACCGCTTGCGGGGATTCGAGGGAGATGGCCGGGGGAAGAAGGGAGAGGGCGGATGTCGGCATGGATGGAGATGAGGATCGGAGGAGGAGGAGGAGGCTGGGTGATCGACAGGTGAGCAGGCACGGGTCGGCAGAGAGGGTGCAGTGGGTCACGTGCATGGTCACGTGCCCAAGGAGCGCGGCGTCCCCTGACATCGAGGCTGCACAATGTATGTTCTGGAAGGTGCTACTACAACCCATGACCAGTGTTCCATGCGGTACATAGCCTTATGACTCATTAGTTGTAGATATGACTCAGACTGGATTTGGGTATAAATACTGTAGCTACTTGGTTGTATTCTCCAGTCTTCGGATTTACTTCTCTTTTCGACATTATTTCTTGCTGATTGTCACAACCCCATGACCATCCTGCCTTCCCTGTCAGCCGTGTCAACGGCTTTGCTACCTCTGCGTATCCCCAGACAAAGTGTCGATAGAAGTTGGTGAACCCCAGGAATGCTTGGACTTTTTTGACACTCTTTGGTTCAGGCCATTCCATCACGCCCTTGATCTTGATCGGGTCCATCTGCATTGAATGATGTCCAATAATTACACCCAGATATTTGATTTCCGTGCGTTCAAACTCGCACTTTTCAGGTTTCAGGTACAGCTTGTGTTTTTGGAGCAATTCGAGTACTTGTTTTGTGATCCACCAATGTTTGTCCAAGGATTCTGTGAAGGTCAATATATCGTCAAGATAGACTACCACATGACCCTTGTTGATCAGTTCCCGGAGTATGTTGTTCATCATGTTTTGAAAGGTTGCCGGGGAATTCGTGAGACCAAAGAACATGACCAATGGTTCATACAGGCCGTGGTTTGTCCAAGAGGCGGCCTTCCACTCATTGCCCTCTTTGATCCGTACATTGTTGTATCCCCACCAGATGTCAAGCTTTGTGAAGAACTTGGCGCCGCATAAATTATGGACCAGTTTGGAGATCAGCAGCAGCGGGTATCGATTCCGGATTGTCATCTCATTCAGCTTCCGATAATCTTGTACGGGGCGTAGCGAGCCATCCTTTTTCTTGACAAAGAAGAATGCTGATGCCATGGGTGATTTTGATGGTCTGATCCGTCCGCTGGCTAGGTTCTCTTGTAAGAATTCGTCCAGTTTGATCTGCGTATTTTGCGGTAACGGGTACACCTTGCAGTCCACTGCTTTGGAACCAGGTTTGAGCTCAATCGCGTGGTCCCATGGTCGTTGGTCCAGCAGTCAGTTGAACAATTCTTTGGCAAATACTTTCACAAATTCCCGGTATTGATCTGGAATCTTCCCCTTGGTCATTCTCTCTTTCTCCTTTTCCGCTTCTTCTGCGAATTTCTGTGCTGGCGTTTCCTTCAGCCGTAGATCCACTTCCTTCCCAAAATCGACCAACAGGATCGATTCTCCCTCTTCCAGATCCGGCACGCCCGTGTCCAGGTTGATTGCATCCATGTCAATCATTGCTTGGTGCTCCTCGTGACCCCTCATGTGACACCACTCTGGGCATTGGCTGAATCTCATTGTCTGCTCCTGCCAATCCACCTCGGGGTTGTGTTCCATCAACCAGTCAAGACCAATGAAGATCTGAGCTTTCCCTACTCACGTCAGAAGGAACGTGCATGTCTCCACATGAGGGCCGATTCTCATCCTTAAGTCAACGTAATGCGTGATCCGGCCACTGATGTTCTCGGTGTTGTCAGCGTTACAAGCCATGATGGGTTGTGGAAGCTCTTGGATATCCAGCTTCTCTGCCTGCGCGTAGTCGGTATCAATGCAGCAGGTACTGCAGCCACTGTCGAGTAGCGCCTTGACTCCGCGCATCTTTCCTGAGTCCAGGCCCGTGATCTGGACATATACGTCCATCAAATGCCTCTTCCTTTCGGCCTGGTAGTTGCGTAATTCCTGCGCCAGTCTGCTGGGCTGGGGGCCCTTCTGTTTCTCGGCCGCCAATGTCCTCTGGACAGCATCTGGCACCCTGGTGCGTTTGGGTGCTTCTGGAACCTTGACTTTGGCAGATTCCTTAGGTGCTTCCTCCTTTTTCACGGATTGAGCCTCCGGAGCGATGCTCCCCTTTTCAGTCTTTGTTGATGTGGTTTGTTCTCCACAAGCCATAAATACGTAGGAGTCTAAAAATAATTTATCCGCAGCCGCTATCTTCTGATCCTTTTTATCTTGTAAATACTTTCTATTTAGAGCCATTTTTTCTTTGTGTTCTTTTTCCATCTTGGCAACAAGAAAATCGTGAATATTGGTATGTAGTGAGTCTGAGATCGTGTATGTATGAGGAGAATTGTTCATATCTTTAATCGAAACAAGTACAGAAAAACGTCCATAGTCCGGATGCTCCACCTCCTTGGCTAGAGGAGTGGAGCGCTTCAAAAACCCTTCTCACGCAGCTTCTCGGCAATCTCCTTGAGGAACTCGTTATCCTTGTCCCCGTTCTCGATCTCTTCAAGCATCATGGCTCGATTGAAGAATGTGCGCTTCTTCCTCGGTTCTGGGCAGTTCCGCGCAATGTGCCCAGGCTGCTGGCCCTCTGAAGCTCCTCTAAGAAGGTCGCCGAGGTGACCCCAGCCTTTATTCCATTAAGGCTTTCGAAGTTGCGCTGTTTCCAGTTCATTGCCCATCTCGAGGTGGCGCAGCTCATGCCAGCCTCGTTGCGGAGGTACGAGAGGATGAAGAGGATTTTTGTCTTGTCCTGCGAGAATTCCGACCAATAGGCACCGATGTAGGTGGTGCACGAGTCCACAAAGCCCATATATCTGGACTTGTCCCCATCAAAGTAGGGGGGGTTGGCGGCGAGGGTGATGCGGTGATGTCCTGACATGGTACAAGCAGGTGTGGTAGGTGGGGGTGAAGGTGGTTGTTCGGAGGGGAGTTCGTCGAGGTCGGGGATCTTGTCTTCAGGCGGCGGGAGGGCAAGATAGGGGTTGGAGGGCCCGGGTTCGTTTCGATGCGCCAGATCGGGCGACGATGGTAGGATGGGAGGAGGGGACGGACTCCCAGACGACAATGGGAATCGGTACGAAATGGTGAATTTGTGTGCTGTACAAGCACTCGAGCAAGGGTTCTTTTGCTGGCAAAAAGATCCCGGGCCTAGCTCTTCACGTGCCTGATGATCCCGAGGTGCGTTTTCCCAAAGGTCTCCGCAGCACTCCTTGTAGCTACCGTAAGGCTTGGGTCAGGCTCAACATTACCCGTGGCCTGGTGCTGTTTGCTCGATATGAACCCTTCACTGCGATGGCAGCAAGCGACTAGATTGTTCGGTAAAAGGGTGAAGAGGATGTAGTGGGCGTAGCGGCAAGGGATGCAGTGGTAAGAGGTATGAGGTAGGAGGGTATGAGGGGAGTCTTCGAATTATGTGACAATCAACCCAAAAACAAAGTCGAAAAGAGAAGTGAATTTGAAGACTGGAGAATACAACCAAGTAGCTACAGTATTTATACCCAAATCCAGTCTGAGTCATATCTACAACTAATGAGTCATAAGGCTATGTACCGCATGGAGCACTGGTCATGGGTTGTAGTAGAACCTTCCGGAGCATATGTTGTGCAGCCTTGAATCAATAGAGATAATGTCGAAATAGAGGCTTGGTTGGCCATATAACAAGTGCTCTGGCACGAATGACCTCCCCTTTAATCAAGACTTATCTTACCAATCACCTACCTACCGATCTCCTCACAACCGATCTACCCTATATATACTGCGCTCCTTACTATACATTCCTCAGTCGTTTGCCCTTATATTGTGCACCCGACTGAGGTACGTCCTTACTTTACTGTCCCGATACTTCTTACTTACATACACATATTAGTCTACTGTCTTACGGGTACAATACAGTCGTTTGCCCTTATATTGTGCACCCAACTGAGTCTACTGTCTTACAGGTTATGGGCCCCGGTGCTTCCACCTTTTGAACAAATTAAGTCTCATTGCACAAACATTTTCTTCGACTCGAATCCACTTAACCCGACCGCATTGAATACAACCGATTGTCTATACAAGACTCTGCCATTGTGCCCCTGACCATGTCCCCAAAAGCAATCCAGACTCTCCCTGATAGTGAGAAGTTCGATGGGACTGGTTTTAGTCGTTTCAAAACAAATATCGTTGCCCTTGTGAATGCCCTTGGACTGGGCGGTGAAATGCTGAGGGCGCGCTCACAGGTGAATCTACTATGAAAGTAAACCCAGATATAAACACGTTCACACTCCTCGTAATCAGCTTCTCAGTGTGTGAAAGATGTGAGGGCTTCGGGGTGGACAGAGCACCAGTATCACAACTCTCAATAGACGCAGATCCAATAGTCGCGGAAGACAAAGTCGACGACAAGAATTTATAAATAACAAACAGTGGTGTCTCAACCAATATCTTCTATATGAGCAAAACCAACACTAATCCAACCACAACCAACAATATCACAAGTCAGAGCTTAATACAAAGTATTAAGATCCCTTGCAGCGACAGCGTCCAGATGGCGATGCAAAGCCCAAATATCAAGTCAACGCACTGCCAACCGATACAACCAATATACTGAGTTGATGCACTGCCAACTAGTAAACCAAAAAGTCAAGTCGACGCACTGTCAACTAACAGCCAATATCCAATGTCCAAAACTCGAGCACAACTTGTCGACACACTGCCAAGCAAGAAGTGTGGAACCAAAGTTCTCAAGTCGACGCACTGCCAACTGACCAAAACAACCCGAGCACAACTAGTCGAAGCACTGTCAAACTAGAGGTGTGGAAACGATCTCAACAAAGCCCAAATGCGACGACACTAAATGCTGCGACTCAACCAGAAGCGGCAAATCCGACTTTCTGATATCTCAAAACTCAAACTCAAATCACAGTAGCTACAAGTGCTCAGGGAGCAACTCGTCGCAACTGGGCAGGGGTAACAGAACTTCTGAGGGCGGAATCACGCGACATGCAAATTGCACAAAACAATCTGATATGAGAATGATTCACAGTCCAGGGGAAAGCTCCCTAATACAAAGAAACGACGTGCTACTTATACTGTCTACGATGATGCTTAGTAAAGTCCTGCACAACTGCATAGTAGCTACGGTATCTAAGATCGGTTGCCTTTTAGAGTCATGAAAAGTTGAACGATCGGACAGGTCCTGAGTGATCAGGACCCTGCCCCATAGTCCATATGATACTTTTGATGTGGGTCAACCCACCGCGTCATACTTTTGGAATACGACGTGCTGGATTGGCCAACGGGTATATCTTGGCGAGTGAGTCCAACGTGGGTGCCCCAAGAAGCCGTGTGGCCCTAGGCACGCCAGACGTCCCTCACATGGTTCGGTTCACGGATCTAGCCCGTGTTGCTTTTGATGTGTTTGGGTATGGACGGGACTCGCCGTGACACTTGGAAGTGTCCCCACGACACGTCCACAATGTCCCGTGATCGAGTGGATCCTGACATGTGACAAGTCGTCGCCGTGGCATGGTCTGAGGAAACGTCCAACCGAAAACCGGGAGTTGCCGCGACAAGATTGGTTCAATCTCATAACGCCAAGTCCTGTCCAGTAGTAGTTGTATTATCGAGAACGTCGCGCATTGCTCAGCCCTTCAGCCCAAGTTCCCATCCACAGAGAATGACCCTTTTGAGAAGTCGCCGCAACAAAGTATCCCTTTTTGGGGGAATTGTCGCGGTCCAAGCGTTCATCACTAATAGCCCTGAGCCTGGTGTACACTCATAAGACCAATTCCACAGTAGTGGTCTGAATGCCTTGCTATTGTCAACACTATCCACAGTCGTCGACTGGGCAGTAGACCCTTAAGCCCTACTGAACGCAACACTGTCAACCGCGACACGATACACCAAGTGGTTCGAGAGTAAACTCTGTAAAAAGCGCAAAAATACGTCCTTACAGAGCTGGTGCAGAGCGCGTCTGGTAGCCAGCCTATCAGCAGATACCTCGATGGCAAGATCCCGAAACCCTCCCCTCCTGCTCCTCCTGTCCCTGGCACAACCGCCGTTCAAGTCCCTCTCTCTCCCGACACCACACAGTTCTACTCTACCACCCCGAGCTATGACAAATGGGTATATTGTGACTCTGTTGCAATGGCCCTGTCACCAAAAACTACGGTCATATCAACCCGATAGCTCAAGTTCATGCGAAACGCGACCTCCACCACAACGTTCCTGACCGCGGGTACCCCAATGTCGGAACACTTGTTGTGTATGTGCAACCTCTGGAAGCAAGGTAATGACGTGGGTGCAATGGTGACAGATGACCAATTCATGTCAATCTTCATCGGTTCCTTGAACAAGGAGTGGTCTCCAGTTATTCCGCTGCTCTATGGGATGAAGGCCTCGGCGGAAATCATTGCTTTCGTGATAATGCATGCGTCTCGCACAGCCAGCCGTGTCCTGGCACAGTCGAACAGCACCCAAGCTCTTGCTGCAAATCTCAGGGATCGCAAGATGCGCCGTGCTGCCCATCAAAACCTGACCTGCACAAACTCACAGTGTGGAGCCCAGGGTAAACGGGGAAATACCATTGCCGACTGCTTCTGGCCTGGAGGTGGAAAGGTGGGCCAATGGCCATCTTGGTGGAAGGGAAAGCGCAACGGACCAGCCGCTAACATTGTCGACACTTATGTCCTCGCCACATGGAGCATCCCGGCAGCTACTGTCAATGTCTATGACAGTGCTGGAACTCAGCAGATTGACTTTGGCGGCAAGAAAGCCTTTGCGTCGCCAGAGTCGCTGATGGGCTGGAGCGAAGCGACCGGGTCAACGATGTCCATGATTGTGCCAACTAGTGGGAATTGTGCCACTGCAACCTCCATGGGGTATCTCCGTTCCGATGCTTCCTTTAGCGAGATCGAGGCGGCCTCCGTGTCGGAGTTCGAGGTCATCAGCAATCTGCACAAGTCAAGCAATGTCAGCAACAACAAAGATCCCGTGTATGTCCCAAACGGGACTAAGCCCGTCGCTTATGGGTCTTGCGAGGCAGAGGTTGCAGCTATCCTGACTGGAGGACAGCCATATCCAGGGGAAACCGATGTCGTTTGTGATTGCTTTGTTGTCTTCTGGAGCAGCGGGAGTGAGCACATGGTCATGGATACAGCTTTAGAGCGCGATACGCCATTCCCGTCGGACTGGATTGACGGAGATGATTTGGTGGTCGATTTCGAAGAATGGTATGCAACACACCTCTGCCCACAAATCTCTGTCCCTCCCGTCCTTATCAATGCCGCCATCGCCGAAATCCCGTATCTTGTTGTCGCGGATTCTGCTGCTACCGACCATTGCTTCTACCAGCATGAGGACTTTGCCTAGTACACTTCCGCCAATCGCCAAGGCACTGCCGCCGGTGGATCAAAGTTTCGTATTATCGGAACTGGGACCGTCACCAAGACCACCATGTTTGAGGGCCGCAAGAAGACAATAAGCTTGCGTGCTCTCCATACCCCCAACCTGTCTATCAACCTTGTGTCAATCTCACGTCTCGACGAGAAGGGCATTTCCACTCATATTTCAAAGGGAGTCGCAATTTTCTCGGATCCAGAAGGAAGACTGTTTATGCAAGCCAAAAGCGTGAACAGTATGTATTGTTTGGATTTTGAGGGAGCCGATGTGACTGCGCTGGCTGCCAACTCCTGGGCAAAGCCAGCTGACAGAGAGACATGGCATCAACATCTCGGACACATTGGCAACACCAGGCTTGACACCCTGATGGCCAAGGACACAGTGCGGGGATTGGACGTGGTCGATGGTGATGAACGGGGGATGTGTGAGGACTGCATCGCAGGCAAGCAGACCCGACGGCCTTTTGATGGTGAACACAAGTGGGAGCGCGAGATTGGCGAGCGTGTCTACATGGATTTGTGGGGTCCGGCACAAATCACGGGGATTGGCGGCATGCATTTCCTGTTCCATGCGGTCGATGGACATAGCGCGGCTGTGTGGACTTTCGGCCTGAAATCAAAGGAGGCAACAAACATGCTGGAGGTAACGTTGACCGGATAGGACATGGATTGTTTTGGTAAGTGCGATCATGATCCAGCCATTGGGGTCTCGTTGATTGGTGCAGTCACAGTGTGACGCACCGAGATGTCGTCATGCTGCTCACCTCATCTTATCACCGTCACATGTTTGGCAGCGTCTACCATTGGCATGTCCACCCTGCATGTCTGTGTATGAGCATTTCTGGTATGATATTCATGTCTACATCATAAAACTGCACCTCTCTGTCAGGATACCTAGTACAATACATACACCTTAGCTTTGAAACATGGCACTTTTTGGAGCGCATCAGATATTATGTATGTGGTAGGCAGGACATAGTCTGGCAGATATACCTTGCCCATGCCCACATTTCATCTCTTCCCCATGCCTCAATAACTGGTGGTCAAACTCGACGAATGATGCCCCCGTTAACCGTGATAGTTACCAGGTCACATATTCTCAGGGCTGAAATGGTTTTGCTCTGTCTTTTCAACTTGTTTACCTGAGATGGAGAAATTGAGGATGTTCTAGCCGTGAACTAATTGCTTTTTTCCGATTCGCCTCATGTAGAGTGGAGCCTCGGAATGAGCAACATGAGGAGCATTCTCTCTCAGCGGTACCTAAGGATTTCACATAAAGTTCCTTGATACGCGTCTCGTTCCGAGCATTTGACTGTTGGCATCATTCGTCGAGTTCATTGAGCGGACCTAATGCAAGGAGTGTGGCCTGGTCTTCCCTGGTCCTCAGCCACCCGACAGACTGTATCAAGTGCGCTCAGCTGCAGCTTAAAATGGGCCCGGATTGAATATTACTCCATGTAAGATCGAGTTTCTTAAGTTCTGACGTAGACTGCTGAAGGATTCAAGTACATGTTCCTGTCCATTTGCATAAAATGCGCGACTCAGAAGAGTTGTCAGCATTTATACCCGGGAGCTGCATCACCTGTGTTGGCTGCGGTGATATGCCAATGCTGATGCCGACTGACGACGGTGAAATGCTGAGGGCGTGCTCACAAGTGAATCTACTATGAAAGTAAACCCAAATATAAAACACGTTCACACTCCTCGTAATCAGCTTCTCAGTGTGTGAAAGATGCGAGGGCTTCGGGGTGGACAGAGCACCAGTATCACAACTCTCAATAGACGCAGATCCAATAGTCGCGGAGACGAAGTCGACGACAAGAATTTATATATAGCAAACAATGGTGTCTCAACCAATATCTTCTATACGAACACAACCAACACTAATCCAATCCACAAACAACAATATAACAAGTCAGAGCTTAATACGAGGTATTAAGATCCCTTGTAGCGACAGCGTCCAGATGGCGACGCAAAGCTCAAATATCAAGTCGACGCACTGCCAACCGATACAACCAATATACTGAGTCGACGCACTGCCAACTGACAAAACCAAAAGTACTGAGTCGACGCACTGCCAACTAGTAAACCAAAATGCCGCGTCGACGCACTGCCAACTAACAGCCAATATCCAATGTCCAAAACCCGAGCACAACTTGTCGACGCACTGCCAAGCAAGAAGTGTGGAACCAAAGTTCTCAAGTCGACGCACTGCCAACTGACCAAAACAACCCGAGCACAACTAGTCGACGCACTGCCAAGCTAGAGGTGTGGAACGATCTCAACAAAGCCCGAAGGCGACGACACTAAATGCCGCGACTAAACCAGATGCGGCGAATCCGACTTTCTGATGTCTCAACTCAAACTCAAATCACAGTAGCTACAAGTGCTCAGGGAGCAACTCGTCGCGACCGGGCAGGGGTGGCAGAACTTCTTAGGGTGGAATCACGCGGCACGCAAATTGTACAAAACAATCTGATATGAGAGTGATTCACAGTCCGGGGGAAAGCTTCCTAATACAAAGAGACGACGTGCTACTTATACTGTCTACGACGCTGCTTAGTAAAGTCCTGTACAACTGCATAGTAGCTACGCTATCTAAGATCGGTTGCCTTTTAGGGTAATTGAAAAGTTGAACGATCGGACAGGTCCTGAGTGATCAGGACCCCGCCCCATAGTCCATATGATACTTTTGATGTGGGTCAACCCACCGCGTCATACTTTTGGAATACGACGTGCTGGATTGGCCAACGGGTATGTCTTGGCAAGTGAGACCAACGTGGGCGCCCCGAGAAGCCGTATGGCCCTAGGCACGCCAGTCGTCCCCCACATGGTTCGGTTCACGGATCTTACCGTGTCGGTTTCTAGTGTGTTTGGGTATGGGCGCGACTCGCCGTGACACTTGGAAGCGTCACCGCGACGCGTCCACAATGTCCCGTGATCGAATGGATCCTGACATGTGACAAGCCGCCGTCGTGGCATGATCTGAGGAAACGTCCAACTCCAAACCGGGAGTTGCCGCGACAAGATGGTTTAAGTCTCGTAACGCCAAGTCCTGTCCAGTAGTAGTTCTATTATTGAGAACGTCGCGCATTGCTCAGCCCTTCAGCCCAAGTTCCCATCTGCAGAGAATGACCCTTTTTGAGAAGTCGACGCAACGACAGATCCCTTTGTGGGGAATGGTCGCGGTCCAAGCGTTCGTCACTAATGGCCCTGAGCCTGGTGTAGACCCATAAGACCAGTTCCACAGTAGTGGTCTGACTGCCTTGCTATCGTCGACACTATCCACAGTCGTCGACTGGGCAGTAGACCCTTAAGTCCTACTGAGCGCAACACTGTCAACCGCGACACGATACACTGAATGGTTCAAGAGTAAACTCTGTAAAAAGCGCAAAAATACGCCCTTACAGAGCTGGTGCAGAGCGCGTCTGGTAGCCAGCCTATCATCTCCCAGGAACACTAATTTTGACCTCCTGGTCAATCCCGCGACAGTCTCACTGCGTCAGGTCTAAGTCCAACAGTCGACGTCTCATTCATTTATTATTAAAGCCGCGGAGACATAGAGTTATGTTCCCACGTCTTATTCATTTGGTTGTTCGGTTCCTTCCGTGATCTGCCGCGATCAAACTTCTTCCGGCATGTTCACCATATAAATGCCCTCAATTTTCAGGGTCGAGAGTCTCCCTAGTACGAGACACTCTTGCCTTTTGACCACCATGTCCGCGCCCGACCAGAGCCCCCGCCCCCAAGACACCAACCGTGAGTGACGCCCAGGACGATTACCGCGACTTTTCAACCACGCTAACCGTCCATCAGCCGTCACCGAATCAGCTGTCCCGGGAGCAAACCTGCCTGCCATCGACTGGCGGCAGTTCATGCCGTCAGTCAATGTCTCTCCCATGGCTTGTCGACTCAGCTCACCACCTGCCTAGCCCTGAGGCCTACAACATGATGTTGCGGCAGATGGCCGTCGACGTCCGCCAGATCCAGCAGGTGAGCTCCGTTCTAAGCCCGCTGGGCGAGCAGTCACGGCGATCAATGATTGCCGCGCCTGTTCGCTTTGGCCTTCCTTCTTTTCACTCACGTAAGGACTAGCCGGCGTCTACGCCCTTGACCACCAACGCTCCAGTCGAGGAGTCGTCGCCGCCCAAGAAACGCAAACGAGTCGTCGAACCCGTACGTGTAATCTGTTTCATTTGTTCACTATGTTCTGATCGACCCCCAGGCGGCTCCAACCGAACAAGTCGCCGCCCCTTCGTCGTCCCGGCCTGCCAAGCAGAAGGGGAAGGGTGACGGCTCCAAGCCGCAGGCCCCTGCCGCCGTCGCGGGCAGCAAGGTCGCCGTCGCCAAGAAGTCGAGCGAGAAGTCGCAGGGGAAGCGACCCAAGGCGACTCCTGCAAAGGAGCCCAAGGCGTCGTCCCACGCGCCTACTCGTAAGTCGCTCTTTCCTTTCATTCACCAGAGTCGCGGGTACTGACTTGTCGTAGCCGCTACCTCGGTCCCTATTCCACAGGGGTCACTTCCCAAGCGCGTTCACAAGAAGACGCACGTAGGTGTGTAATCCTATGTCTTATTTCATTGATCTTTAGACTAACCACCTGGTCCCTCCCAGCCCGGATCCAAGCACAGCCCGTGCAACCCGAGTCCCTCAGCGATGAGGAAGCCGCCGCCGTCGCCGACACTGCGATGGATGTCGACGACGAGGGGGTCCAGGAGGGAGACGCGTCATCGGCCGACGAGCTGGCCCTTCAGGTAAGTGACCCAGTTCGTCGATCGCGATTCCTTCGTCTCATGGTTGGTTTGTTTTTGACAGGGGCCCAAGTCCAAGGGGAAAGCGCGATCGAATTTGAGTGCGTTCTTCCTCTTGCCCCCTCTGTCGATTACTCATACTTTCGTAGCCCCGTCCGTTATCGTCATGGACGACACTTCCGAAAGTGGGGAGGAGACCGGCGATTTCGTCGTGGCCAAGAAGCAGGTCAGCGAGACCCGCGTCAAGCCCAAGGTAAGCCGACTCCTTTTTCCCAGACCACGCCCCTTAATCCAGCTTTTTAGCCAATCAAGAAGGTCGCGGACGGATCGTCCAAGTCGACCAAGTCCGTGCCCCCCCAACCGGTGCCAAAGGTGGAGGCCAGTCGCAAGGCGAGCGCCCCGCGAGCGACGACTACCCCGACCCCAGTGGCTAAGGTGAGACACTAATCTTGGGTTCCAGACATCGACTAACTCAATTTTCTTTCTTTTCTAGGTTGCCCAGGCGGCTCCCGCCGCTACCAAGACTCCACGCAGTGAGTTGGGCAGGGTGGCCGCGACCCTTGGTCGCGAGCGGAGTGTTGCTGCGGCCAAGGCCGAGCTCAAGGCTCAGAAGGCAGAAAAGTCCGTTGCGGCGGCCAAGAAGAAATCTGACTCGGTGAGTCGCGACTTTTTCTTGTCGTCGACTTTTTACTGACTTGACTGTTTCTAGACTCCTGCGAAGGCGTCGGCTCCCACGCCCCGAGCTCCGTTCACTCCCGCCGCCTACGACACCGAGGCGCTCCTTTCGGTGGCACGCCAAGGGTTCGCGGGGAAGTTGGAAAGGGCCGGCGTAGAGGTGCCCACTGACTTCGTGCGTTGTTTTATCTTTTTCTCTCATGCCTCGACGACTGACTCCCTTTTTCATAGGAGGTC